GTATGAATATACATAATTTTATACAACTATTTTGCAATTGTTACATAATCGCACATGTAATACATAAGCACATAATTCTACTAGGAAAGCGTAATATATACATATTTTTTTGTACTACAATAAGTATCTCATGATAATAGCGTACATATGTGATAGAAAATAGATAATAGAGTCATGCATCGGACGCGTGAGTCTCTCGTAAAGAGGCAATCCGCTTTTAACTCGCTGCTGTCTTTCTTAGCAAAGAGGGGAAAAACTATTTTGTCATCAGTATATTGCAATTTTTCTCACGACTAATCGAGACCACAAGCTTGGAATGAAGTTACATAACTCTACAGTATAGAGACTACAGAGACTTCGCGATCTGATGACGATGCACATTGGTAGATGATTTTTAGAAGCGTATCTGCTCCGCGAATTTTTGCGATCTCACGGATCATTCCTCTTCTTTTTTTCGTAAATTCAGTGGCGCCTCAGTTATTCGAATTAATGTGCGAGAAGTAATATTGCGACGGAGAACACTAAAAACACAACGAAAAGCACGATTTAGCGTTACGTACGTTAAGGATACCAAGGGATATTCCTTCCATCGAATTCAAGTGGGACGTTCTGCGGACTTTTAAATTGACCAAAACGCGATCATTATTCAAGAGATACACCTGTTTACTGCGTCAGTAAATAGACATCTTTTGTCTTGTCAAAGAATTGTAACAGCGGCTCGAATAAAGCGTCGTCAATAAACGCCTACGGTCTCATTGTAACCCATATTAGTCCATTCATTATTTCAGCCTAACGTGATTCATTATCGTGAATAAAATAATATAAGTTACATAAGAGACACGAAGAATTTTATTCTAGAATTATCGTTTCCCGTTAGAAAGAACGTGTCTCTTCCTTCGCGATGTAGGTCACACAGTCGGAAGGAAAATACGTATCTCAGTAAAAACACCAACAGTAACGCTATATCAATGTTGTAATTTCCCATTGGGCGATGTAACTGTTATATTACCATTTGTCATATTGTACTCATTGCCGAGTGGGAAATTATAACATTGACGTAATGTTACTGTTAGTCGGTGCTCACTGGAATAGTGTGCGGCAATCTTTGCGTACGCAGGCCTCCATTGTGCGTAAAATCGCACTTCGCATCGGCGGCGGACGGCGGGTGGTGTGGGTGCAATTTGTGGTGTTTTTCTGCGACGCGTACTAATTGCCTCGGCGTGACACGAAACGCGCCGGCCTACCCGCGACTCCATCGTCAAGTATTGTGTTCTGTTATGACTGGCAGATGGCCTCTTCACCCACCACGTCCATCCTCGTGTAGCCTGGTGCTTCTTTTACGCTGTCCCGAACTTCCCCGCCGCCGTTGAGCGCCGCTTAGCGTCGTACGATGATAAGGGAGTTTCTCTTATCAGCCCACCATACGATTACGCAAGAGCGACTCAAGATCGTGAACGGCGCATCCGGCGAAGCGCGCCCGAGCAAGTGTGTTTGTGCCTTCATGTACAAGCGAATGACAAAAAAGATCGCACGCGATCTCGTTGTCGTCGTCGTCGTCCTCGTCATCTTGTCAAAACCGCGACGGCATGTCGTAATGCACGACCGATAAGTTCCGAATGAAATAATAATGACCTCGTGGCGAGGATTTATGAGGGACAGATAAGCCGGCAATTTTTAGGGATACCGAGCGATCGCGATCCACTCGGATGAATCTTTCTCATGCGAAGTCCGATACTTTTTCCACGATAGGGAAAATGAAGATCCGTTTCTCCGCGAGATCGGCCTAACTTTTACTTTCGCGAGTGCCGCGCGTCGCACAAAGTCTTTCCCTAGTGTCGTATTTTCTGAAAAGATAACGCGGAGATAAAATTAATGTCAATCCGTACTATTTTGCAACTCTATTCCTCTCATTTCTCCAATGCCCCGGTCGTACATTTTTTAAACAGGCAGCGCAAAAGCATACACAATATTCAATAACCGGATCTACTACGTTTCTTTCAGTCTGCTCTTGTTGTTTCTCGCTGATATTCTCGGAGATATTCTTCTGAAACGGAGGACGCGACGACAATCGATAGCCAGACGGATTCGAACGATTTTTTTTGCGTCTCACCCGAGTATTTGAGCCGGAAAACGCGAAGATAACCGACTTAGCTTCGCAAAGCCGACAAGTATCGTGCGCGGTATCGCAGAATACTTTCACACGGAACTTTCAATAAATCTCCTTAGATTCCGAATAATCTGAATTATTACCGAGATCGCGCGAAAATTTAATTAAATAGAATCCAAACCGTTTTTTGCGGAAGGCTCAAAGGTACATCACACCGTCTGACTGTCGAGGAGGTGATACGGCCGTTGTTATGGCGAGCAGTTTCGACACCTTCTGCCACCCCTCTTCTCTCTTTGCGATAAACACACATAAATTTATGAGCGCTTCCCGCCGCGAATTATCGTCTATTAATTAGGCGTGTCGATCACGGATGTACGTCTCATCGGCCGCATCTTACGCGGTCTCATCGAGACGAGGAAGGAAATGAATGATGGGAATGGGGGATAACAAAACGGCCGGATTATATAATTGAACTATTTGGCTTTACTCGTACGTGCTGCGATAAATACAAAAATCGCTAGAATAATTCTTTTCCAAGCGGCATTTGTACTTGTCTTTCCCCCTCCCCTCTTTTAGTACTAACTTCACCGTTAACCCGATCTCAGAAAAGACCAACAATAATCGTAATCCTCACGATCTCTTAGGCTGGTGCTACTGTGCCCGCCGGACATGGCTCTATCGCCGGAGTCTTTGAGATAGTCGAGTGAGTGACTACATCCTCTTCGGCAGCATATATCGACTTCGACTCTTGCTTCTCTTGCTCGCTTCGCCAGTGTACCTATAACACAAACGAAATATTTAATACAGGCTCATATATATACAACGCGAGGTTCTATGAATTTTCGAAAAAAATAACGGAGAATAGACGAGGTAGATTAGAATCGATAATCTGTAGATATAAAGATCTTTATTCTGAATTTCCTTTTAAAATAAAAGTGCCTCTAAATGTACTTGAAAGCCAATCAGAAGGCTTATAAGCGTAGGAACTTTTATTGATAAAAGAAAGTTCAGAATAAGAGCCAAAGTATATGAAAAGAATATCATAGTAAAAGTTGCTAAAATTTTCTCTATAATGTACATCCGTGATTATAAAGAGAATTTTACAATAACATTTATCGAGAATTTTGTAACCGAATAATGCAACAATATTCAACGTTAATTAATTGTCTTTACGTTTCATATGTGCTATTTATATTTTAGGAAATAAGTATATTATTCACAAATTTACTATTTTCCTTAGCAAGATAAATTCCACTAACAGTCTATTCCTGCATTATTGGAAAACAGTGAAATTAAGAAAATTTACATGAAAAAATATAATATTCTCTCCATGTAGTAATATATACAATAAACTCGCGTTTCTCGGAAGATATTGAAAGCACCTTTTGTTTGTGCTGCTTAATGGCCTCGACACATCTGTCCATGACCATGTTCTCCGTCAGTACACCATCCTCTGAGGCGTAAGCTGCTGCTTGCCAGGTGACACCCAACTTTGCCAGTTCTCTGCCGGACATCCCTTCCGTGAGGTCAGCCATCTTGCTACACAGCGTACTGTAATCGAACTGTGCCACTTTCAGCCTTTTATTACCCTCGATTGCCGGCTGGAGAACAAACTTGTCAAAGTAGAGCCGGACCAGACGCTCGCGTTCTTCGCGACCTGGAAGAGTAAATTCTACCATCTCGTCCAATCTGTCGTTCACCGCCCAGTCGAACTGCTCCGGCGTGTTCGACGCGAGCACCAGCATGAACTTGTTGCTTTGCTCGCCTGTTCGGTACAAGAAAGCGTTCAACGTCGCCCTGAGATCCTCCGAGATGCGTTCGCTCGACCGCTTCCTCAGGAACGCGTCGGCCTCGTCGATGAACAGCATCAGTCCTTTCCTGGACGTCAACGCCCAGTCGAACATCTTGTGAATGGCAGTGACACCGTCTCTACGGAGCGGCGCCATGTCGCCGCCCGTGACGATCGCGTAGTCCATTCCTGAGTGTTGCGCCAGTTTCTTCGCAAACATGGTCTTACCGGTGCCCGGCGGCCCGTGCATCAATATGTTCCTGTACATGCCGCGGTTGCGCTTCGTGTTCTTCGTAGCTATCGCGATGTCACGCAGCCGCTCCTCCAATTTGGGTGCAAGTATAACGCCGGAGAGCGCGTCGGTCTGTTTGAGTTTCAATCTCTTCACTGCCTGAATTGGATGCCGGGCAGCATCCAACAGCGCGAATCTCGAGGTCTCACGCACCAACGATGGTTTACCCAAGCGAGACTCTATGTAGCGCGCCGCGACGCCGGTTGTACCCTTGGCAGTGTACACTCCGAAAGCCAACAGCGACAAACCAGCAGCCGCCGCAGTGATCTTGTCCCAATCTCCTAATAGTGCTTTGGCTCCCGAGCCTAATACTGAGCCAGCTGTTCTGAAAGATGTAACAATTGTGAAGTTACATATACATCTGCGAGTTAGGGTATATAACGAACAACGTACGCGACGCTGTGAGACGAGGCGCGATCTCATCGGAAATGGCTGAGATTTGTTTCTCAGTGACACGCATACAACACGGTCGTGATACGTCAAAAATTAATTGTCTATGCGCCGCTCGCATCATCACTCTGCCTTCAGATGCCAGCTGATATTCACTGTCAGAGGCAGTCGTTTCTCAACCATTTTCGATGAACTCTCGCGCCTATAGAGATTCTCCTACAATATCGCGTGCACTGATTCATTAATTTTCTTTTAATAATTACTTGAAATTTAATGTGATTATTTAAAAGAGTAAGCTATTTTTTGTTCAAGTTCTATCTACATTATCTTGGTCTACCTATATATATGCATTGAAATGTTTTGTGACAGGTTTGTGCTTTTATATACAGGATGTATCAATTCTCGCGACTCTATACTGATAGAGCAATTCTCTGAGCAACTTAAAGTTAATTTTTCCTCAATAAAAGTGCTGAGGTACCAATAGTTTTTGAAATACAAATGATTGAGAAATCTGTTCTCTATTAATTCTGTATATCATTCTGAAGCACTTCTCTGTGGTGCCACAAAGTGGCTTGAGCCCTAATTGCTTACTTTATAGATTCTAAAACAGTGATCCTCTTCTCCGAGGCTTTCAATTTAATTTGCTCGAGATTAAGATCATGATTTTCTCTGTCTATCTTTGCTTTAGCCCTCAATTCAGCTTCCAGTTTCCTCATCTCATTCTTGTGTCTCAATTCCATCTCGTGCTCTATTGTAGCTTTCCTCATGGCTTCTTGTTTAGCCACCGATTCCTCCTGTCGTCTCAAATTCTCATCGTTCATTTTTTGCTGCTGGATCAATTGATCGTCATAACGCTTCCTAGATAACTGATCCTGATACTGTGCCCTCATTTGGTGTTGTTTAGTCTCTTCTTGTATGGTTTTTCTCCTCTCCTCACCCTCCACCCGCTTTTGGTCCGCCTTCATCTGTTCGATACTGACTTCATATTTTTTCATCTCGGTTTGCAATTCCACTTGCCTAGTGGACTCTTGCATTTTAGACAGTTCCAAGGCTTCTTTGGCATGCTCTATATGAAAATGAAGTTGTACTTGTTACATTCAAGACTAAAAGTCATATTCTTAATTAAACAGTAAGTACAAAAGACATACTTTTAAATGATAACAGATTCTACTTATATTTGTTTGATTTTTCAAAAATTGGTACTTTCACTTTAGAATTATTGATTGTATCTTGTAAAATGTTCTTCCTGCAGAATAATGATGCAATAGTGATGCGATTTCTGACCGCTTACGTAATTGTGCGTGAGATTTCTTTGTGACAAGTACAAGGAAAAGAAAAATTTACTGGATCGTTCGAGTTCCTTGGCGGCATTGGCGGCACGTTCCAACGCGGCTGAGTCGAACATGTACGCATCCATTTGTGACTTGGTCATCTTCTTCGGCGGAGAACTGCCGTCGTTATCACCGCCACCGCTGCCACCGCCTGTCGGTGGCACGAATTGTGAAAAATCCGACGGCGGCTGCGAATTGCGATATCCAAATAGCCACGACATTTTCCTCCGGTCGTTTCCCGCGTGCTCCGAAGAAGGTTATATTCGCAAACTTCTCGTTTTCGCCCGCGACACGCGAACACCGGGAGTTTGTCACGTGGAGTCAATGTTGAGTGCAGATGGTGCAGATAGCTGTAAATGAACGCGCCATCTCTAGGCTCCCGCTACATATATTTATCCGGTATCGAGACATCGAGCGAGTCTTTACTCCGAAGCGCTCGTTTAGAACAAACTGCAAGGCTACATTCTAAAATTCTACTTGGCGGATAGAGTAACATTAATTACCAAACATGATAAAGAAATCTTAGTTCTTTTTTATTCTGATTAGTCAATTAAATGCTACTCCATCCGTCGAGTAAAGTTTTGGAACGCAACCCAGGAAGGCCTTCCCAAGAAAGAAGAACCGGTCTTGTTCGGCTAATGTTCACATTGTATGTAAAAATTTTAATTTTGATTTGTACTCAGATAGCAAACCTGCAAAATTTATGTTAACTGTTTGTGAGACTTACTGTTACTGTTTATAACTAGCAAAAACAAATTTATTCAAGCGGAATATTTATTAGACACATCATATATTTTAATTTTGAATGTTCATATTTAATATTTAAAATTTTACCTTTATCCTTGAATAAATATATTTATCTTGAAATAGCGTATTTGTATTGACTGTGTCAATAGATACTCAGTAACTCAGTCGCTAATTGACACAGTATATACTAGAACTTGGAATACTTAGTCATAGCTAATAAACTTGTTGAGTTACTATATATCAACAATATCAACTATACAAATTGTATTCTGTACAAACTGTCTCTTCATCACTACCTATTTACAAGCTATATTTACATATCATTTCAACTGTTATTTACATTAGGTACTAGTTACTATAGGATTATTATAGGGTTACTGGAAATTGATGCTAGATGTTTATAAAGATAATAATAAGATCTCTTCTAGAACTTTTAATAAAAAAAAAAAACAGCGATGTTTTCATGACAAAAATAACAAGAAGCTGAAAATGCACTTGAAAACTTTATTTTGGTTTGCTTCATAATTGGGAAAAATATATAATGTCGCATGTACCTGTAGGAACTTTGGGCTACAGATTAATATTCGAGACCATCAACGCTTAGGTAACATACAAATTAAAAAAAAGAAAAAAGTAAAAGAGAATGACTAAAAACTTGTCGGCATGTCACCAATGAAATAAAAAAGAAATAGCTAATTTCTATATATTAAGCCTAACACTTTCTTAAATCTAAATTTATACATTGGTAACAAATGTAAATATAAAATATTGTATGCGATCGGATGCGCAATTCTACATTTGGATGGATAACGTGTAGATGCGTACCGAATATGCGCGGCCTGCGCGTTTTACACACAAAACATCATTTGAGTGTCGGAATTGAAAGAAAAGGACAAAGAAAAAGGTAGAAAAAGGAAGGAGGGGGGAGGGGAGAGAGAGAGAGAGAGAAAACAGAATAATTTGTATGATTATAAAACAGAAAAAATGTTTGTGTAATTTAGATATCTATGTTAGAATCCATCAAGGGAAAAGAATCTTATCTAGAGGCGAATTGAATAAATGTAGAGAGAAAATATATCCTATTTATATATATCTATACATATACATACATACACACATACATATATGTATACATATACACACACACAGAAAAATCACATTATATGTGTTATATATTGTATTATTAATGAAGTACTATTGATTATACAACAGAAATATAAATAGGAAATATTTCTCCACAAGTGGTAACATAATCCATTGCGTACTGACGGCAAATAATATTTCGCACATAGCATATCGAATTTATCATAAGTATTAAAATAATTTACTGTAGTAACAATACCAAATTTCACTATGTACATCAATCGTCGTCCCAATGGACGTCTCTCTCCTTTCCAGATTGTCGTTAATTTTCATAAAAATGTCATGTCGCCATGCGGATATCGGATTCACCTCGACCCAAAATGATAACTAAGTAAATTAGTATTAGAGTACCAGTTCTTTTTACTTAATAATTTCGCACAATTTTATACATATGCATATATAAATATATATAATTTAAATTTGTTTCATCTCTCTCTCCTACGATTGATTTTCCGAGCACACAATAAAAAGACGAAACACCGAATATACGAACACAAATACATATTTTCCATCACTTATCATTATTTATTATTGACATTACTTTAAAAAAGAAAAGATTATACAATAATATACTTACAATTAGATAAAAGTTAACTTATCAGCTTATTTTATAAAATATACAATTGTGTATTTCTTTGTAATAGGTCCAGATGAGCCCGTATCCGCTGTCTGAGGAGTAAATGCTTCGATCCAGCAGGACGACATCCATTTGCTTTGACGAGGATCCAGTACTAAGTTAATAAGGATTGTTACGATAATGCAATACGACACTTTCACTCGGGCTTCCTCGTTCTCATAAGCAAGGCCCGAGGCTTCGAATCTACCCTCACGTATGATCGTCGAGGAGAGCCAGCAATTTGGCAATCGCGCTATATCGTAAAACAAACCGTACTCTCCTCGTACTTTGTACGTATGTATTTATACGTACATAGTCAAGAGCCTTAAAAATATACGCCATCACCTTCGGCTATCTGCAGCTCTGCGTTGCTGAATGTAGATTATAGCCTTGACTAGATTCTTCTTCGGTTGTGCGCGCATTAAATATTGTGTCGCCGTTAACCGGAGCAGATCTCGGAGTGTTCATCCCACGAGGCCACCTATCAATGTAAGTATACGTATGAATAACAAAATCAATATAAGATAAAAAAAGTAAACAACAATTTTTGCATATAACAGCACGAATAATTTCTCTAGTTCTTAGTTGAAACGCGTAAGTTTTTTACCCCATAGAATTATCTTAATGTCGTTTTATTTCGTGTAAAATACTTTTCGTTCTTTGCCTTCTTCTAATCTTACCTGACATTCACGACTGCAGTACCACTGATTCGCACATCCAGCACAGACAAACTGTGCGGGTTGGTCATGGCAACCTTGACATCGCGGAGGGTTGTCGCGATCCTCCCTAGTGTCTCTTCCACTCATCGAATACTTGCCATTTCTATCATCACTTGTAGTATCTTCCTCTACATCATCCTGCAAGCCTCAAAGAAACGGTCAGAGAATCTGAATATACGCGACAACAATATGGATATCTATCGGAACGACGATCTTACAACATTAATTACGTTGTTGGAGTGGGACTGCGCAGGTGTATTGACAACGGGAGTTATAGTTATCTCCGTGCGAGCCTAAAAAGAGAGAAATATCCCGTGTTAGATATATTTTACACTACTCAGAGAAAATAATGGAGTCTTGAATCACGACGCACATTGATATAAATCGTAAATAGAAAATAATATACCGTGGAGGAAGACAGCAGCTCGCTTATAGAACCCAGACTAGATCCTTGGTATGCCTGTAAAAGGTGTTGGGCGCCAGTCGCTTGCTGTGCCATAGGTACTATCGGTGTTGCCGCAGCTGTCGCTGCTGGAGAGTTCCTTTCTCTTTCAGGTGCGGTGAGCAATTTAGCCAAAGTAAGCGGAAAGTTGTTTGGCCTGGATGATGTATTGTTGGTCAGTATTCCATGGAGAAGCGAGCGTGAAGGCGTATTAGTGTTCTCAGGCACGGAAGATGTGTTATGTCCTGACGGCACAGGTTGAAGTGTCACATCCGGATAATTTTGCGATGCTCTGGCTGGTTCACCTAAACACGAGATTGCTTGTGATACCGTGTTCTTATGCGTGTATGAATTTATGTGTAAGTCTAAATATATTGTTGGTTACAGTTGGAACATTGGTAACTAGTCGAGAATTGATTATATTATAGACTTCAGCTTTTAATTATTTCATCTATTTCTCGTTATTCATGTCTTTGCAGCAAATTCCCTCCGGTGAATTTTATGATAAATTATATAAATTCCATAAGATTGTTACCTTGATGTTGAGACAGCCTGTTGAGTTGGAATACCATGTCCCTAAAGTTCACGGGGTTTTGGCACTCTGTCGCATTCGGACTCTTGCAGGAGTCTGCACTCGACGGTCTGGAATCAGCATTGTGTCCCATCTCGACCATGGCACCACCAGCGGTCAGATTAACGTTCACCGAATTCCTCGTTCTTCGCCCCCTACATTAATATAAAAATTTATTATTTTAAAATAAATTTTAATTATTATAACTATAATTATTTATAATGTAATTATTTATTACTTCATATATTATCAATTTTTTTTATTTTGTCCAATTTTTTTATATTAGCTGCTCTAATTTTTCACTTGAATGTTTCTGATTGCAGACCATGGGATCGTTGGATATTTTTTTTATCTAATAACAATTTGTAAATTTTTTTTCGAGAATCTCCAAAATATCATTTATCGTTTAGGCGAGATTCGCCATTACCTCTAAATCAATAGCATTATCAGCACATATACTCACTCAAACTTTACTGTTCGGTAAGCTTAATAAATTAATTTAATTTTTTTTGGCCTCTAAGATAATGTTTACTATATCTTATTTTGATCTATTATGATTATTATTTAGTTAGGGATTTAGTTTCTATTTATTTTATTTTTAATTTTGTTTTTCAGATTTACATAGACATATCTTGCCGATTGCAGATACGAGTGCAATAACAGATGGTTTATTATATTAATAGATAAGAAATTTACCGATTAATTGATAAACGTACCTTTTCGGCGCCGGATCGGGGAACATCTTCCTATGATTGGCGATGATGGAAGTCACTTCTACTCTCGCACCTTGACGACCTTCGCCGATCTGCCGGGACTCTGGACTCGACATCTCATTCTGCTTGCGGCTGTTCTCCCCGCCGTTTTTCGAAGAAGTCGTCTGCCGCTGCGAGGCAACATTCGCAACGTTTTGTTTTTTAGGGAGCGACGCGTTTAGGGAGCTTTCTTCGGAAAGATCACTTTTGAATTCGAGAGACTTTTCTCTCGACGCGGTCTCGCTCGGTGCTTCGTCGCTGTTCATCCATCTCGCCTCCAAGCTGGTGGACGGCACGTGCTCCGGTGTAGTCTCGCTATTCGTGAGTCTCATCATTTGCCTTCTTCTTTGGAGCCTCACGTACGCTTCCTCCGTCAGTTTTCGCTGGTGCAGGATCTGATTCCATTCCTTCTCTTTTTTCCGTGCCATTTCCTCGAGTTCCTGTCAACACACATGGTAGGTTAAGGATCGATTAGCCAAGATCAAAAGTAAGCAAGATTTCGAGGAGAAAATACTAACCTGCATCTGCTTAAACAACTCATTTTCTTTTTTTTCCAAAGCGTCAGCCGTAGTCTCATCGCCGACAAGAGACTTGATGGAACTTTCCCGTTCTTCCTGTGCACAGCAGGTTTTTTTCGGTTTAGAAGGACCATTCGTAGGGTCCTGCTGCCCGTTCGGGGACTTTCGCTTCTTGCCGACGATTTCGGCTGACTTTGATCTGACAAGACGCGAACCGGCCTTCTGCTCCGAGGTACTCGCTATCGGCGTGCTTGTAATCGGAAGGCTCTTCTTATTGGTCCTAATGTTCTCATGTACGTCCTTCTCAATTTTTACACGTCCGTAATCCAATGCCGATGGCGACGTAGCGGTCTCCTCGGGCAGAGCGGCACCATTCTGTTGGCTTTGGGGTACCTTCGGCGACGTACTTGGCGCGTTCTCCGCCGCGTCCACATTCTTCCCGTTTCCGCTGGCACCCTCCATCGCGTGCATCTTGTTCAGGCTGCAACACAAGTAAAGGAACGACTTGATGTATACTGTGGTAACACGAAATCAACGCGCGTAACAAGCGTTCTTCTACGAATGAACAACTGCGATTATATTGAAACTTTGTTAAATTAAACATGACAACAATTTGTATAGATGTGTGTGTGTAAATATTTATACAATACATTGTGCGTAAAGCGTGACTGCAAGATTACAAGTATGAGATTTGCAAAATGCGTATACTTCTTCAAGTGGAACGATGCGTGAACGAGTACGCTTGTTTATCGCTTTTAAAGAGGAGCGTCTAATATTCTTCCTGACACGCGAGATCCTGCTGGCATGCTTCGACAGCGGTTTCTCGCGCGCAAAGAGAAGCACACCACGAAGGTGGCACGCGAGGTGCGCGCGCGTTTCAGAAAGTGAGAGAGAGAGAGAGAGAGAGAGAGAGAGAGAGAGAGAGAGAGAGAGAGAGAGAGAG